CAACAACGTAGGTCCAGGGACGGATTATCTACTAAGCCGTATAGGCCACAACCTAGGTACAGGGCCGGATTCTCCATTAGGTTAATATAGGCTGCAGCGTATCTCACAGGACCGGATTGTCCATGAGGCTAGTATAGGCTGCTGCCTAGGGCCGTATTATCCATGAGGCTAGCATAGGCTGCAGCCTAGGGCCGGATTATCCATTAGACTAGTATAGGCTGCAGCTTAAGGTACAGAACCGGATTATCCATTAGGCTAGTATTGGCTACAGCCTAAGGCACAGATCCGGATTATCCTTTAGGCTAGTATTGGCTGCAACCTCGGGCTGGATTATCCATTACAACATCCTACAACCTAGGTCCAGGGCTGGATTATACATAGGCTGCTGATTAGGTCCGGATTATCCATCGGGCCAGTATAGGCTGCAGCCTAGGGTCGGATTACCCATTAGGTTAATATAGGCTGAAGCCTATCTCACAGGTTCGGCTTATCCATTAGGCCTTATAGCCTGAAGCTTGGGTCCGGATTTTCCATTAGGCTAGTATAAGCTGCAGCTTAAGGTACAGAACCGGATTATCCATTAGACTAGTTTTTGCTGCAACCTCAGGCCGGATTATCCATTAGGCTAGTAAAGGCTGCAGCCTAGGGCCGGATTATCCATGAGGCTAGTATAGGCAGCCTAGGGCCCCTCAAGCTTCGTTATAATGCTGGTTATAAAAAAAATCTGTTTTTTTTTACTATGTTTGTGTTGAAATAAGTAAAATTTGGTTTGCAATAAACAGGAAAATATTGGTATTTCTTAAATAATTGCCAAACAAACGAAAGTTATTCTACTTTAAAGAATTTGTAATAAGTTTACTATTTCTATGTAAATGTCGATAAAATAGATCACGAATACAAAAATATTCGGACCGGCGAGTTCGAGGCTGGCTCCGTCTGAGAATGCTTCATTAGCCACAAAAGGTCATAATCCGGTTCTGCCAAGAGAGTACACAGTAATAACGCTATGTAAACGTCCTTTTGACGCCATTTTTTTTATATAGGTATTAATGTTAAACTTTACCGAAATAATTTGTTAGCTAGAAGAGTCACGCCACTCATGTCATCACAAAGAGTACATTATTTCTGTTCTTAAAACAAATGACTGATTTGATTACAATGCAAATGGTAGATACTAAGATGGTGCATAATGAAAACTGCAAGGTTTTAAAAACAAGCAAATCATTCTCAACTCAAGGTTAGCAGACGATACATATTTCGTGTCTGTAATTAGACATAGACGGAGAAAGAAATAACAGGAGGAACCACCGACTACTCACCACCCCCAACCCGCTCCGACAGTAAAACAAGTAAAAATTCATTTAACATCAACATTGTGGCTCTGTTTCGCTGGCAAACATCCAAAACATATTTGCCAAGCTCTTTAGATATTTGTCGCTTCTTAAGAAGCTGGTTTCTTTCTGGCGAGATAGTTTTACCGTAAAGGCCAACCACTGTTTTCTGAAATGAACCAATTTTTGATGACGAGAAGCTTGCCGGTCCACGCCATTTGCATTTTTTCTCTTTTTTTTTCTTTTTTTTTTTTTTTTACTACTCTCTAATGGTAGCCTGGCTCATGTCAGCTGAAGCGTACTTTTAAGAAAAAAATATTAACGTCTAGGTACTTCCCCCGCCAAAAAAGAAGAGCATACCATTATACAAAAAAGGCCCAAAACTTAATAAAACCAAAGTTTTATCGTCAAAATGTTTATGTTATTATTAAGAGGTAAGACCAAAGTAATTTTTTCATATTCTATTAAATTTTTTTAACCCTTTCTAGCACTTTTCAAATTTTGGTTAAAAAATCTTGTTTTTCTGGCGTTAACGGGTGGGCCAAAGATTACTATAGGAATTTTTCGTGTCTTTTTGGCGTTAAAAACACGTATTGTAAAAAAGAAATTGTATTGGAAATTCTTGTAAAAATCAAATAATTGTTAGATTTAATGAAATTTTCCGGACTTAAATATTTTACTTTTTAATACGTTATTTTCAAAGGATACTCAAATATGAATACCCTTTAGAAATAACGTTTAAACAAATAAATTAAATTATTTGACTTAATTAAATCATTCCTGTCAAACCGTGAAATGAATGTTGTCCTAAGCGGGTTCTCCTCCAGTTCCTTTCACACGAACGTTGGTGTTTCCCAAGGCTCTATCCTGGGTCCTACACTGTTTTTTGATCTTCATCAACGATCATCATGATTTCATCAACTCCCAAGTTGACATCCACGCTGACGACACTACTATTTACTCATGCCTTAATAGTAGATATTGAGCACTTTATTATATATATATATATATATATATATATATATATATATATATATATATATATATATATATATCAGAGATAGAGTATATGCATATATAAAAGGAACATTAAAGTTAACATTCAAACTGTTAGACTGTTTCATGCTAAACTCAATCATCAGGCCTGATTGCGCTTAGCATGGAACAGTCTGTCACCTCTGAGTATTGACTTTAATGTTTTTTCTCTCTCTCTCTTTCTCTCTCTCTCTCTCTCTCTCTCTCTCTATCTATCTATCTATATATATATATATATATATATATATATGTGTGTGTGTGTCAGAGGGTGGGTGTTTGCATGTGTGTGTGTGTGTGTGTCAGTGGGTGGGTGTGTGTGTCAGTGGGTGGGTGTTTGCATGTGTATGTGTGTATATATGAGTGCATGTGTAGGTGTGCGTCTTGGTGTGTTTATGTGTGTGTATATGTGTATGTGTTTGTGCGTGTGTATATATGGGTGTGTGTACATATGTATACAGGGAGCGATAGGTAAATTATCGCCATTTTATATTTTTATTTTCGCGCATGTGCATTGTTTGCTTTTGATTTTGTCGACTGCACATTATTGTAGCGTATTTGGGAAAAAGCTTACCATGTCGTAATTCACTCCGCCAGAAATTTGCAAACGGCATGCTGTACTACTTGGCATTCGCGCCAGAAGCTCCAATACGAACACTTCAGAGTGTTTGGGTGTCAATCTAAAGATCTGCAAAGAATTCGGAAAGAGCTGAATGAGTCTAATGGTGATTACGAAGGGCCCCAGGTTCAACAGGTACATCAAGTGCCTTGAGGAGGTAATGCTGCCCTGGGTCAAGAGGGTGGCTGCTGGAAGAACCTATATCTGGCAACAGGACTCTACACCATGCGACACAAGCAGGAGAACCCAATCTGCGACCACATCACGGCTCACATCTAGCTCCTCAGCTCCCCAGACTGCAACCCCATTGATTATTATGTGCGGAGAACTGCTTGTAATACCAAACTAACGCATGGATCATGCACCAACTTAAACAAGGAGAACATCCAGTAGAGTTGCAGGAGATTCCGAAGTCATCTGGAAGCCATGGTTGAAGCCAATGAAGATTTTACTGAATACATTTACTCTTTAGTATTTCAAGGTAAAATTGTGTAATTTTGGTAAATATATCTGTTAAAATGAGATGTCAGTATTATTTTCCTTTTTGCATAATTTAGGTGACAATTTATCCATCGCTCCCTGTGTATATGTATGTGTTTGTGTGCATATTTGTGTGTGTATATATGAATTTTCTAAGCGTAGCTTATATGTAGCACAAGGCCGAGGGTATGGGTACTCAGTGAGCATCGAACTCACTATTTAGTCATAACTGTTTACCGAGACAAGCTTGCTAACAATTGAACCATACATATATATACACGTGTATATATATTTCTGTGTGTGTGCTTGTGTTTGTGTGCGTATATATATATATATATAGATATATATATATATATATAAGTGAACATTGAATATATATATGTGTGTGTGTATATATACATACATATATATAGACACACACACATATATATATACACAAATGGAGATGTCGATTGACATTGCATTTGACATACGCACACAAACAAAAGCATAAACACATAAATATATATACATAAATATATATATATATATATATATATATATATATATATATATATATATATATATATATATATATATATATATATATATGTGTGCGTGCGTGTGTGTATGGGTGTGTGTTTGGGCATATATATATATATATATATATATATATGCTGCAGTGAGTGCTGATAGTAATAAATAGAAAATAAAACAATGTCCGACGTCAAATAAATTAAATTTTCTACTAAAATAAATATATATTTTTCCTCATCGTTCATTTTTCTCGGGAGTAAATGAACTGCTCCACTATCATAACAGTCAGTTCTAAAATACTGAATATATATATATATATATATATATATATATATATATATATATGTGTGTGTGTGTGTGTGTGTGTGTGTGTGTATGGGGGTGCGAGTAGTTAGTATGTTTGCTTTCTGCCCATGAGACCATCCTTCGAGTCTCATCAATCATGGAGGCAATTTCTTGATTGTATCCATCTGGGGAGTTGAGCTTAGTGCGCGGCGGCACATTTGAAAAGTACCTGAAAAACCATAGAACGAAGTCACAGGTCATCGTGACCGAAGGTCTGAGCATACCACGGCCTTCCCAGCATGGTTGCAAATTCAACAATGCAATATAAACAACATGGCAGACGTCTATAATAGGCTTTCGCTAGTAGATGGATGTGGTCGGTAAAGAGTAGGCAGCCATTATGTATGTACAAAATGTCCTGTCCCCCCGTCGTACTCCTGGGAATATGGAACTGTCGCATAATCGGTGACTAAACCAGTCAACCCACCTAGTTCGTTGTTTTTGTTTAGCGTCATATTAACCGCGATGGGTTATTTCATGTCAGGAGATAATAATTATTTTGGTGATAGAAGTCTTACTAATTAACCCATAGCTGGGGGACATGAAGAAGTGGATTCATGCCTTTTCCCATGGGTATTTGTGCGTAAGTGAATATAACGAACCCAACGGGAATTGGAACTCTGCTCTCCGATTAACAATTCTGAGCCATTATCCATTACACCACCCGCACATCCAAGCTTACAGCACCTGTTATTCCCCAGTGGTCACCCATCAAGGTAATGACCAAGCTCAACGTTGCTTAACTTTAGTGATCATACGGGAACTAATGTTTCAACATGATATACCCGTACATCCAAACATACAGCACCTGGTATTCCCAAGCGGTCACCCATCTAGGTACTGGCCTTGCTCGATGTTGCTTAACTTCGGTTATCGTAAGCCTGGATATGTGCGTTCGGAAACGAGTAGGCAGTCATGTGTGTATATTATGTCGGGTCAGTTGGTGAGTGCTACTGGTAATATACATGCCAGTATGGACACGTGGACGTGTGGTTAGGACGTTTGTTTTCTGACCCGGGTTCGAATCCCGCCATGCTTGGTTTGTCAAGAAGATGACCTCTTGATGTTATCGGTCTGGGGGAGGCGATGCCAGTGTGCGGCACCTTTGGAAAGTGCCTGAAAACTATACCAAGTTGGCCCAAGCCTTGTGAGTGAAATTGGGTAGTCATCGTGACTGAAGGTTTGAGCGTGCTGGTCTTGTTCAGATTGTTGATCACGTAAGAGAACATACTTCTTTCCCAGAAACAGTATGCAGTATAAACCATAGCTCTGTGGGGGTTGAACAAACACAAGATGCGCCTGATAGCGTCTGCAATAGGGATAAGATAGCCGCTTTAATAGACTGGTATCCTCGAATACGGGTGGCCATCCGTTAATGTAAACTACCTGCTGCATAGTCGGCGACTAAACTAATCTTCCACCAGGTTTGACTGGATTGGAGAGGGCGCCAAAAGCAACGCCAGCGATCCTCTGGTGACAGTGGTAATATAGCCGAGACAAACAGGCCAGCGGTCCGACAGCAGGCCACCAGTGGTAAACATGACATGCCACCCAGTGACATTGGTGTCTTGTGTGTAGGGTATTTTCCCAGCAAGATAAAAAGACCTGACAATAGTAAATGAATCTTTTCACTGGATCAACAGCCATCTAGGATGTCATGTATGTATGTGCATATATGTACATATATGTATGCGACGTCTGATGAGAGGGAAAGCTCAAGAAAAAACGTGCGGTTGAAGTGGTTACTAGCTATTTTAGGCTTGCGACTATATCATGTTGAAACACCTGTTCCAATAATGAAGTTAAGCAACGTCGAACCTGGTTTGACTTTGGGTTTATGTAGAGTTTATGATCTCTCAGTTGCGTCTCCATCTTCGGGAAGAGTGCGACTCAGTTGCATCTCCGTCTTCGGAAAGAGTGCGACTCAGTTGCGTCTCCGTCTTCGGGAAGAGTTCGACTCAGTTGCGTCTCCGTCTTCGGGAAGAGTGCGACTCAGTTGCGGCCCTGTCTTCGGGAAGAGTGCGACTCAGTTGCGGCTCCGTCGGAGGACAGATGCGGAGCTGAGGAAAATTATACTTTGAGGTACCCAGCCCTGGGGAACAGCTGCCCCAGGCTGTACCCTCTCATTGCACTAGGGAGAGGGATCAGTGCTCGCTACCAAGGCCAGCGCAGCCGACGGGTGCTCGGGGAATTTTTGTTCTTGCCCTGGGTGTACGAAATCGGGTTCCCCACAATAAACCCGACCTTGTGTCACATCACGTCTCAGTGGGGAGACAAGGTAATTATTTACCTAGATGGATAACCGCTTGGGAATACCAGGTGCTATAAGCTTGGGTGTGCGGGTGGTGTAATGGATAACGGCTCGCAATTGTTAATCGGAAGAGCCGAGTTCAGATTCACATTGGTTGGTGATATTCACATACGCTCAAATGTCAATGAGAAACGTATGAATCAACATCTCCCCAGGCTATGGGTTAATTAGTAAAACGTCTATCACCAAAATAATTATTATCTCCTGACATTAAATAACCCATCGCGGTTAATATGACGCTAAACAAATACAACGAATCTAATCGGTCAAGCCAGGTGGGTTGACTGGTTTAGTCATCGACTATGCGACAGGTAGTACTGGGTTCCATATTCCCAGGACCACGACGGAGGTGCAGGACATATTATGCATACATAATGGCTGCCTACTCTTTTCCGACCACATCCATCTACTGGCGAAAGCCTATTATAGACGTCCGCCATGTTGTTTATATTGCATTGTTGAATTTGCAACTATGCTGGGAAGACCGTGGTATGCTCAAACCTTCGGTCACGATGACCTGTGACTTCGTGTTGCTCAATTTTAAATAATAAATATAAAAGTGAACATTGAAGTCAACACTCAGAGGCGACAGGCTGTTTCATGCTAGACGCAATCCAGGCTATAAAACAAAAAAAAGGGGGGAAAACGGACAAAAAGCAGACAAATATATCAAAGACTTTGTCTTCACTCTTTTTTTCTTCCGTGTCTGGAATTTTTTTTTTTAAATACATGTTCTTCAAATTCTTAAACAAACACTTCCCAGAATCAAGCACTGTACACAAAATATTCAATAAAAACACTGTAAAAATCAGCTACAGTTGCACCGAGAACATGACACAAATAATAAAAAAGCACAACAGGAAAAC